ACCCTAGAGCTGAAAATTCATGACGATAACTCCGTCCTCGCTGTGTATGCTCTGAATAAAGAGACCTTGGTTGGAATAAAAGGTTGCCTAGTGTCCATTGAATCTGCGCTTGTGTTCACAGTTTTCCAGCGGTCAGTGGATTATAAGGGGTTGGGCTGGATCCGTGTTTCTGATATTCGGGTACAGCGGCCAAGTAGCCCATTGAATTGAAAACAAAAGGAAGGCGTGCCTGGCTGACGTATGGAGAATAAACCGCCTTGTTGGTATGTGGATTTTTGTTAAAATAATGACAACATACACTTGAAGGGATTTGGTCAGTAAAATTGAGCACTTCAACAATACCTGTGTGTGACGGATGTATGATTCTTTGTCATGCTTGGTTTGTCCTAAAAGTTGCTGAATATAATGCAGATGAATTTTTTTTGATGTCCTGTTTTGCTTATCTTAAGTGGACAACATCAGTTGTCCATGTAACGAGGACGTTCTGACCAGCAAACCCCGTGACGTGTTCTGGTGAAATCTGATGTGGCTTCGGCAGTCACAGAAAATGAAAGAATAAGTCAGGGGTTCACAATTTAACCATGCGAATATGACTTCCAAAAGGAGAAAGAGGGAATCTGTGTATACCCCAAATTTGTCTGTGTACATATATATATTTCGGGTAATTAATCTGAATGGAGCGAATCCGCGGATTCCGCCAATATTTTCTGCCTTTCGGTCACAAAATTCCTGAACCAATTTGCCCCTTTCAGTTCAGGGGTGATGCAGTCATGGTAGCCTTTACACAGCGAAGTTTCAGTACTGAACTTATGTGTAGTCATACCAGTGCATAATGACCTAGGGCAAATATCCGTGAGGTCACTGTTGTGGGGTGGAAATATTTTCTCGATAGGTTCCGTGCGCGGGCAACGGAATTCCATATCTGCCGTCCGTGCGTCGCCCGTCGCGTGTCGTCCGTCATCCCTCGCCCGTTGTGCGTCGTCCGTCGCTTTTTTTGGGGGGGGGGGTTACGCTTGCCCAGTACTATTTTTCACTTTGACCCTTGATCGTTTCACATACTTGTTCAATCGATCCGCCATGCCTGTCTGTCCTTCCACGACCAACAGGTCGTACTCCCGGAAATACAAGAGTAACTTTGAACTGAATGTATATAATGAATTACAATATTTGATTCCTTAATANGCTTTTATGAGAGACGAACTGATTCAACATTATTTTGAGGGCGGCCACGATGAAATCTGCTGTATACTCCAAATTATACATGACTTGAGTTGCACGTAGGCACACAGAACTCTTTTAAACAGTAATGTCACTTTGTTAGCCCCATAAATAGTGCTGATATGCTGGACAACCTGTGCTCAATGGCCTATCCACAATGGCATACACACCCACTAAAACCTAACACGAATTTCAAGGTGAAATTGAGAGGGAAAAAAGGAATGTCTGTATAGGCTGGCAGATTTCTTTCTAGATGTTCATGAAAACAAGTCAGCACATTTTTACAGTAGGCAAGAGTAAATTGCACTGCGGATAAGTTTGCCTAAACATTTTTGCAGAAAACAGTTCTTCCCTAAAAAACACTTGGTTGAATTCTCGCGACGCGCGACGGACGACCGGCATTGCACGACGGGCGAAACACGACCGACGACGCGGGACGGGCGACGAAAAATGGCCTATATGGAACTGAAAAACGGCAGAAATTGGGACACAACAAAGAGCAGATAAGGAGTTCCATAGCTGGCCGATGTGCACTTGGGCCGGAAGGTGACGGGTCGCGCGTCAGCGGTGCGGGAAATCCCCACAAAACACAGACACGACATGTTTTTTCCCCTTGGAAAACCCTTGCAGGTCCACGAACGGCATGTGGCTGCTTGCGATAAGTGGCATTTTTCTTGCAGGGCTATTGCAGTACAACCTTTTGTATACTGCAGTCTTCGTGGTTGCATTCTTGTTTCCCGTTCATATTCGAAGTTTGTTGTGTAACACTCAAGGGCATTTTGGTGCCTTTTTATTTTTATGCCGAGAATTCGCATATTTAGTTATGAGTAAACACGATATTGTGATTTTAGAAAGCTTAATGATATAGAGCTATTTCAGTTCTAAAATGCCAGAATTTTGGACGCTTAGTCGTCTTAAATTGACTCTGTGTGTGATATGTTGTTTTAAATACATAATACAAAACACTTGGCCAGTGACAACATCGATCTTCTCAGGAATATTAATTTTCAATGAACAAAATTTGTGGTTCAGAATTTATACACTCCCCAATGTGAAATGTCTTCCTCAGATGACATCAAAGCAACAATATTCTCATTTGTAGCATATTTGTGTTGATCGAAATTCAAGTGATAACTTCTTCCGAGCTCATGAGCATAAAAAGTCCCCTGCTCCTATTAACTTTGGAGAAAAAAAGGACATTGTTTGGCCGAAAGGAATAGCGCCGGATTATTGAAATATAGACCAGGATCTGGAGTCCAGAGCTGATAGAAATTATAGTTGAAAAAACGACCTAAGCTTTGCCGTTTGAAAGGCTGCGTGCAGGCATGGGAGCTGCAGGGGTGAGATTGCTTTGCGTGAATATTTAAAAATGTAATTGGCTGACTCACCAAAAATTGAAAAGAAAGTGAAAGACTATTGACAAGACGGCAATTTGTTTTTTGTTTGAGAAACCCCGTGAAGTAACGTTTGCTTGCATGTTATTGAGCCCCGAACTTGATTGATTTTAAACTGTTTTCATTAGGGTTTGAATTAGCATTGTGCCCGATCACACGATGGCGTGCCCGATCACACCATCCCTCTGCAAAACGGCCAAATAGTGCCATCTTTCGGACCCGATTGCACCCAAATCTCTCAGAATTGGAAGCCCAAGTCCGGGCCAGGGGTTCAGTGCCATATTTCTCCAATTCCTCAATTTCATGGCTCTCAGGACTCTCTAATATAGAATATTTTGAGTGTATAACTTTTATTGATGAGCTCGGCGGACTATTTTGTGCCTTTTTCCGAGGGTGCACCCTCGTGACGGAAGTAGTCAGGCACATACTTGTCTGTTCATCCAGCACTGCCTGATACATGGGATTGTATGGGGCGGCAATGACAGGGGTAGCCATAATCCGGTCCTGTCTCCTGCGACTACGGGTTCGAATTTTGAGGCAGCGGTGGAGAGCCGTAGCCAATGTTCAATACTTGCGGATGCCGTAGTCTCACATGGAGACGCCGCACGGCGTGTTGCCGACATAGAGTGTATCATAGACCGTTGAAAATATTTCTTGTTGGGGTTTTCCCGAAGATATACCTCCCATATATATTTGCAATGGATGTTAGTGATGAAACACATGATAAAGCCAAAAATAGAAAAGCTTTTTAAAGTGAAATTGAGCCATTTTATGCAGCATCGTCATGATTAGAAGCCAGTGTCGATCCTTGACGTATCGTAAACTGAATTTTTATCGACACCATTAAACCCTACTAATTCAACACTATTGAATATCAAGTGGACTTTCGGTTTAATACGCAATAAATCGCTGTGACAGAATAAAATCACAGTGAACCAGATTTTATTAAAGTGCGTGAATCTGGCTTTAAAAACCCTTCCAAGCTAATGACCATCAGGGGGCCTTTAATTCAACGCTGTCATTATTATTATGTGTTTCACATTCTTGTGAAAACCCCGGTTGCAAGAATAATGCCTGAAACATGCCACCAAACGGTCCCTATCATAACACGGTAGCATTCCCACCAATGAGTCTGCGTGTCCTTTTTGCTATGTTATAACCTGCCCCGTTTCAAACTCTTGTCCATTGCCTTATCGGGTACGTCGTTATGCATTGTATTTTATTAGAATTTTCACAGTTATGGGTCACGTGTGTTTCACTGCCGTTTGACGAAGGCCTAACAGCAAAATAATTAATGTGAAACAGTTGCGGCAGCCCTGGTTAATTGATACAGAAAGGCACATTTTCAAAAGTGGTGGTAAAATGGTTGCAATGCAGGGCCCCTTTAAATCGTGTACCATTGTAAAGGAAGTTTGAAGCTCAGAATTACCCGGACATGAAAAAGGAAATCGCTTTCACCGTGGTCAAATTTTTCCAGAATGTGGTTACTATACAATGAAATTTCAATCGCTTCGGAGTCTTGTCCCTTGCTTGAGCTTCAGAAGTTTGGCATTCGAACTAAATACCGAATAAAACATATTAAAAAAAATCAAGCCGAACAACAATTTTTTGTGTAAATGTATATGTAACTGAGTTTGTACACGAGCAGGTCTGCATAATACGAGTAATCATGTACTGTACATCTGTTCATGTACGCGGTATTTACATTCCTCAGTGTGGGTCGATATGTTATTTTAGGTAACAATATGAACCTCTTGAACTTCATTATTGTGCAATTAGTGCACTGTGTGGAAGTTGGGCAGACGATCAAATGTCGATAAGGGAAGAATAACAATCTGTGGTCGATATGCACACAAGTCTGATCTTTGGTCTGTGGTCTGATCCGGGAAGATAATCAGTGAAAAGCCGTCAAGAGATCTGGACCTTCATACTGTTCTTCACCACAGTCTACTTTAGAAATAGCTGGAAAAGTAATAACCCATTGTTTAAGACCTGGACTTCTAAAATAAAGTGAACCTACCTTGCTTACTGAAAATTTAAACTAACAGTAAAATAACGCTCTGGAAAAAAACAGTAAAGTTAGATTGTGAAAGCTTCCATCCAGCCGACAACACTCAGTGAGCCAAGAATGCAAGTTTGACTTAAGATGCTTAATTTTTTTGAATACTTTAGTACTTTGGGAGTTTTGATTGATATTTCGCAATGAAAGGATCGATGTTACTCCATTTTAGTTTGACGTGTTGTTTTACAACCGTCTAAATTTTTTTTTACTTTTATTAATAATTTCACTTCGCAACAAATCAAAATTGAAGATATTGTTGACTAGACATTGGAGTTATATTTTCTAGGCATTTGGTATATGTAATGGGCGTATGGCATAAGCTGATTGTCAGTGGTAGGCTTCCGTAGATTTGGAGCGTGTTGTGAAGACAGGCAAGGGTTTCCATGACAACCGTTGATGCATGAATTTTCCTTGTAACTTTACACAATCAGCATTTATGTTCATATTATAAAAATCACTAAAATTTAGTGATAGTTTTGGCCCTGATTCTTTGGAAAGTTTGGCTTAGGTGACAAAAATCATGATAAAGTTGTAATGCATTAACGTCGATCACGGATTGCAGGCCCGCCAAGCAGCCGTTTTTTGCCAGCCCTAAAGAAGACGTGCTCGTCCTAACCGAGACATTTTCCAATCATTTTCGGTAGTTTCGCCGTGAGTATTGTTTTCTAAATGCTTTCAACAGTTAAATGATAAGTATTGTAAACCGTAGGACCAGTGAAAGGATCAAAGGATTGATTATTTTCTATCTTTTCGTCACATTTGTCGCCCTGTGTAGCACGGCAAATTACGTTAGTCATGGGTGATACGACGCTGTGATGAAGAAGCACAGAGATTGGCAGAGCTTTGGATTGTTATCGTTAATTATTCACAAAAGTTGTGAACGATTGTTGCATTTCATGATAAATGGGCTTCCATCGCCGACTAAGACGGCTGGAAACTGTTGAAATCTAAACTACGGAAACCGAGTGGTGCCATGATTTAGGTACCAATTCCTTAGTGTCGAAACCTTTTGAGCGTTGTTGGCTGTCCTTATTATTACTGTTTGAGAGTTCTTTATTCCTAGATGTATGGTGAACCATGTATACCACTATAAGATACATCACATTATATACTGAAATTTGCAGAGATTGGTCAAGTGATAGCTTTGTGAATTACTTCACACAGTGGTAATTTTTACCTTGTGTTTGATGACCACATGGTGTTGGAAAGTCATTGTTGTGCACCTTGCAGGGAATAGTAACAAGTGTGCTCATTTTGTCATAGGTATTGAACCTGATTTACAAAACCAGTATTTGATGTTCATCTAGCTACGGTAGCCAGGCTGTGCCATTACTGGGGGTAAGCAAGCACAGAACTCAGGCATCACACTCACTCAGCCAATTGTTTAAGCGCGTCGTGGTATTTCCACGTACCTTATTTAGCTTTTCTTGTACTCATGGAGTTTTCTAATTTTAAAAGGTACATGTACTTGCCAATTGTGTTGCTGATGCCGTTATTTTCCCATTTCTGTAAATTGAGTGATATCTTACAAGATGTTCTAGTTCATTTAACAAAAAGTCGGGGATGCATTCCCCAGAGGTGACTTATGTCAGGTGCTAAATGACATTTATGGGATACCTTCTCTGATGTTATTTAGATACTGGTACATGTAATTAAATCCTTATCGAAATTGTATATTTCACATGCAGGATTTTTCTTGGGGAGACTGCCTACGCGCTCCGTGTTATTAAACAGCACATTCAAAGAATCTCTAGATGGGAGTCACTCGTCGCATCATTTGATGTTGAATTCTACCCTCTGCGCCCCCCTCCTCTCTTTACATATATTTAATGTCTCTACGCACTTCAAGACTTTTGGCAAGTCATATAATAATTACAAATGTTCACAGCACACCCTGATATATTGAGATCTGGACATATTGGGTTCATACCACAGTTTCATCGTTGAAATGCCGATTTGGAAATTGAACTTTCTGTTGCGGTCAAGGTGATTTGTTATAAAATGGTCTCATAATATACAATGAATAGCGACTAATTATCTGAGTCCTTCAACTTCCAAAATTTTGTAGAGAAATTTCAGATGAAAAGGAGCATTTTATCAGGGGTAAACTTGCATTCACATAAAGAAGTATTGATGCGTTAATATACATTTAATATTTAATAATATTCTTTTTTTCCCCAGAAAGCAGTCTTGCAGTCCAGAAAGCCTGTTGGAATCAGTCCGTAGTCGTTGGTCAACTTTTTATTTGAAGAAACATTTAAGAATAAAAATGTCCATTATCAATATTTCATGTTTGAAGTTCCACTACTGCTAATCCAAAAAGAGTTTCATACAAATGAAGTCGACATGGTATACATTTCGAAGGAATGAAATTCAAGGAATTGACCTGGTCGATGAATGACTAATTTCGCTTGATTGCATCACAAAAGTTACCTGAGCTTCAATTTTCAATTTCTGGTAATACCTTTCAAACAAGGCTAAAGGAGTCATTGGACGCACTTTCTTCCGCACTGTGCAAAAGTGCTGATATTTTTCAATAGAATTCACCATTTTCAATTCAAGGATTATTGCATCTTACATTCTCATGTCCCAGGAAAGGTATTCTTTACTAAGCATAAATGTGAGAAGTTTCTTGGAACGTTTCACACACCTGCCTTCATGTTTGTCGATCTTCACTAAGAGGAAGTTGTAGAATTTTATTTTAGGGGGACTCAAAGGATACGAAACGAGGCTTGGTTCCCGAGGAGAACATCAAGTGTATCTCTTGCCCCCATTTTTGTAGCAACGAAACTGAAAAAAAATAATGTGACAGTTATACCATTGTGTGTGACTTTAAACACGCGACATTGTACTGTTAGTGATAGTTCTGCCATATTGATATTAAAGGTGACGTTATCTCTTCATTTGGGGAACTTTCAGAGAGTAAAAATAATAGCAAAGCAATGAATGCACCTTTGTGATGTTTCGAACCAGGTTCTTTTTAGATATTGAAGAGGGAGCTTGGATGGAATGTTGGTCATAAATAGTCTGATACCATCCAAATCAACAATTGACAGTTTGTAAAACAGATTCAGGGAACATGATTAAAAACTGCTAGCTTTTATAGTAACAAAATCAAAACTTGTCAAAACCTTCATAACCATGGTCATGTTTTCATTGGGCTAGCTGCACTACGTCATTTTTGTCTTTGAAACAAAATGAGCAGAAATAATCTGTGTGATCTGTTCTTCATCTCTTGAAATTGTTTTCTGTTTGTTTGGCTTGCTGTTCATAGATACTTCGCTGACTTTATTTTAAAATAGGTGTTCTGGAAAAATTAAAATTAATGCACTTATCAGATGAAAGATGTCGATGTTTTAGTTTGAAATTGGCTGACGTGGCTTTCTGACGTTTTCTGACTTCATGCTATATTTTACCAGGCTCTTTTAGGTCAGGTCGTCTATATCTGCATGGTGGCTAAAAAAAATTCATGGGAAAATTAGTGATGCCTGTATGTGTAACTCTTACCAATATGTCATTTACATTCGACGTTGTGGGCCTGTTTGTTTCGGATTCGGATCGCGATCAGGGATCCGAGGTCGGTTCACTGATGCCAGGATCCACCTAGTTGGGATCACTGATCGAGATCCAACTCCATGCAAAGCAAAGAGGCCCTATACGTTCCTGGAGCTGATGACCGCATAGAACGTGTGATTTGACACTCGACAAAAGGAAACGGGGTTTAACTGCAGTGAAATATTGAAGGCTTAGTGCTTCTTGAGCAAAGAACCGATGAGGAATGAGTATCGGACATTTACCTATGCAAATTATGACAATATGACATTTACCTATGCAAATTATGACAATATGACATTTACCTATGCAAATTATGACAATAGGCCTATTGTTGGATTCCTTCGTTCATAATTTGCCTGAACAATGAACTGATTCAAGCCACATCAGGGCTGCCACCTTTGTTACGCTTGAATGAACACCAGGGAGTATAGATACCAGAAAATCTCAAAAAACTCATCTTTACAAGCATTTTAGCCAACAAGTACTTTTGGCCAAGGAAATTACCTAACGTTAAAAAACCAGGCCATGGTTTTAAAATTTGAAAAACCCCACTGAATAAAAACATGGCTATTTTGGACTGATAAGTTTCATGTTAAAACTAAAGCATTGGCTAATTTTTTAAAAGCCATTTTTTTCCGAAATATTCTTTTCATCTGCTCCCTGGTGTTCATTGAAGTGTAGCGAAGTTGCGGCCTCGTTGTGCCTCGAAGCTGTTCGTTATTCAGGCAAGATTTGGACAAAGGAATCCAAAAAAATAAAATGGATTTCTTTAACAGCCAACCTGCCACATGGCCTGCTTCAAGCTGTTTTCTAGTCATTTGTGGACTCGTCTACAGTCGAGAAACTTTGAAAAGTGTTCCTGTTGCCCTCAACAACACATTGGACATGGTTAAGGTAAGCCAAAATAATTATTCTGACTTTAATCCCTGCCAGTCGTTGCTTATGGTTTTTCCTGAATTCCACACAGGTTTCTATTCTGAGTAAAACATTTTATTTCTACGGGATACTAGCTTGTCATTTGGAAGTATAATATTCATGAATCAATTGCAGTCGGGCACGATCTTGAGCTGACATTTTTTCTGACAGCACAGTTCAAACAATGTTTGTTTCCATCACCTCATGGTCCATTGCAAGTTTTGATTTGCAGTCCTTGAAAACCGTGCCAACCAGTTCCCGACTCGAGTTTAGTTGGCATCTTTAGGGGTGTCGTTGAAGATGCGAATTGCAAGTTTTTGCCATTATTTCTCTGAAATCTGATTTGTTCAGGGTAAAATTATTTAAACTATATATGCTCAAAATCATGTCTGATGGTAAACATATAAAATGCCCATTGGTTGTTTTCAAATTGCTGTTGATTGTTTTCTTGCACAGGTTGAGCTTTGACCCCCCTGAGGCGGGGCCTGCAATTCTAACCTTCCAAGATGCGCTTCTCTGCCAAACAAGTCATTTTGGAAGTTGCTTTAACGACTTTGTACACTGTAAGTTATTTAAATACAACCCAGTCCAAGCACATGTCAAGTCAGCCAGTCATTAAACAGAATTGTACCCAAAAAGATGGTTCCCCCCAAATTAGTGGATGCTGTTTAGCCCATGGAGGCAGACTCACAGAGTGGTTTAATCTCCACCTTGTATTCTGATCCACTGTAAATCATAGGCTTGATATTTTGTATTGGAATGAATGCAAGCATGAGCCTGTGTGACAAGGAGCAATGGACAGGTTGAGTTTGTCTTACATCAAACTACTTCAATTTTTAGATTGTGGTTTTACAAAATGTTTTCACAAAGTGTATCTCATTCAGAAAAGATTGTTTAAGTGGATTTTTTTTTAATATACTCTCAGCAACAAAGCATTTTCCATTCAATTACAAGTCATCTCCCTTTTGTTTTTAGCAGGTATCCATTTGATTTCCATTGCCATGGGAACAGCTCTCTTTCCACGAATCTCTGCAAGTTCTCTGTGTTCCTCAAAAAGTAAGAAAAGAGAACTTTGTTAATTGTTAATCTTG